AATACTTCATATGGTGCCGCTTGGATGCTGGAATGGTAACTGTTATTATACGCAAACTCTATTAGTGGCAAATGATCTTCCCATGATCCCCTGAAGTCGGTAATACAAGTTCTTAACATGTCTTCGAGAGTCTGAATGGTTCTTTAACTTTGCCCATCAGCTTGCGGACGATAGGCTGTACTTAACCGCATTTCAGACCCTAATGCTTTTTCCCGACTTTCCCAAATATTTGAGGTAAAACGACTATCTCTATCAGAGATAATAGATAGTGGAACACCGTGCCTAGTTACAATCCCTTTAATATAAATCTTTGCCAGCTTTTCTAACGAGTATCTCTCTCTTATAGGCAGAAAATGCACATATTTGGATAGACGATCAACAATTACCCAGATCGCATCATATTCTTTTGGAGTTCAGGGTAATTTTATGATGAAATCCATTGTAATATGATCCCATTTCCACACAGGAATCTCCAACGATTGAAGACTTCCATACGGCTTCTGATTCTCGATCTTAACCTATAGACACGCTATGTACTGTTCCACATATCAAGCTATATCTTTCTTTAATCTGGGAAACCAATAAAAATATTTCAAATCTCGATACATGTTATTGGTACCTGGATGAATAGAGTAACGAGACATATGGCTTTCATTCAAAATAGTTTTTCGGATATCCCCAAAACGTGGTACCAAAATTCGCCCTTGAAAACACATAATTCCTTCATCATTCGGTTCCAGATTTGAAATCATCTTACCCAACCTTTCTGACTTGACGAGATCTTCTTTCATGGCTTCTTTCTGACATCTTAAAATTTATTTATGAATATCAGAGACTAAATTTATTCTCATCTCCATGGCTTTAATTGTCCCACTCCTTTCTTTTCTACTCAATGCGTCAGCTGCCACATTGGCTTTTCCTGGGTGGTAGAGGATTTCACAATCATAATCATTAACAAGTTCAATCCATCGACGTTGTCGCATATTTAGTTATTTCTGGTTGAACAGATGCTGCAGACTTTTATGATTAGTATAAATCTAGCACTTTGTTCCCAGAAGATAATGTCTCCATATTTTCAAAGCAAACACTACTACTGCCAATTCCATGTCATGAGTTGGATACTGCTTCTGATGATCCTTCAATTGCCTTGACGCATAAGAAATCACCTTTCCTCTTCGCATTAGAACACATCCCAATCCCAGTTTTGAAGCATCATTATATACTACAAAATCTTCTGATCCATCTGGTATGGTCAACACGGGGGCACTATAGAGATTATCTTTCAACAGTTGGAAAATTGTTTGCTGTTCTTCCTCCCACTAAAATTTGATGTTCTTCCGAGCCAATTTGGTCAATGGTACAACTATCTTACAAAAGTCCTGAATGAATTTACGATAATAGCCTGCCAATCCCAAAAAGCTTCAGACTTCAGTAGGAGTCTTCGGAGCATCCCACTTTTCAACTACTTCTATTTTGGTTGAATCTACCTTCACCCCTGCTTCCGAAATAACATGACCCAAAAATAGAACTTCCCTTAACCAGAAGTCACATTTGGACAACTTTGCATATTGCATTTTCTTTTCAGCAGTTCCAGTATCAAACGCAGATGTTTTTCGTGTTCCTCTTCAGTCTTAGAGTATATAAGAATATCATCGATAAATACCATAACGAATTTGTCAAGATATTCCTTGCATATTCTATTCCTTAAATCCATGAAAGCTGTGGGTGCATTAGTTAAGGCGAATGGCATAACTAAGAATTCATGATGCCCATACCTAGTCTGAAAAGCTGTTATAGTGATGTCTTCCTTCCTGACCTTAAGCTGATGATACCCTGATCTTAAGTCAATTTTGGAGAAATAATTCGCTCTCACCAGTTGATCAAACAAGTCATCAATCCTTGGTAAAGGATACTTATTCTTGATTGTCAACTTGTTCAATTCATGATAATCTATACACATTCCCATAGATTTGCCTTTTTTTTACCAAATAAGAACGGAGCATCCTAGGGTGAATTGTTGGGTCCAATAAATCATTTATCATGCAGATCCTTCAACTGAGTAACCAACTCTTTCAGTTCTGACGGAGCTAATCGATACGGCGCCTTGGCTACTCGTGCTGCCCCAGGTACAAGATCAATTTTGAATTCAATAACTCTGTTTGGCGGTAAACCAGACAAATCTTCTGGAAAGACTTCTGGGTATTCATTAACGATCGAAATTAATTCTTTCTTTCCTTTTTCTTTTTTTTTTTCGTATCAATCACATATGCTAAACATCCCTACCACTTCTTCTTAATACACTTTTGAGCTTTCAACACAGTCAAAAGACTAGTATGAGGATTTCGATGATCACCATAAATAATAACTGTTCCTCGGTCTAGCAGAATAATTCTGATCATTTTCTTATTACAAACAATACTGGACTGATGTTCTGCCAACCAATCCATACCCACTACTACATCGAATTCCTTCATCAGCATAGGGAATAACAGAATTGGTAACTCATACCCCTCAATAACAATAACACAGTTATTGAATACACCAGTAACAGATTCCTGACTATTAGTAGTATCAACTACTAATTCGTCATCAAGTAATACAGAATTCAGATATGGAAATCAAGGAAATGATGGTGACACAAACAAAAAGTTTGCACCAGAATCACACAACACCTTAGCATGTATAGAATTCAAAAGAAAGGTACCTGTTACGACATCTAGGGTTGCTTCTGCCTCATTTTTCGTCATTTGAATTTATCTACCCCTTTCTCCACTCTGGCCTCCTCTCGGTGCACTAGTCCTTCCACGGTTACTGGGAACATTTCCTTCCATTGTCAAACGAGGATCTCTTAGTTGTGGACAATTTGGTCGAATATGGTCAAGTGAATTACACTGAAAACACCTTTTGGGTGTAGTGCAGTTCCTTGACAAATTCCTCGTCTCCCCACAGCGATAACCTCTCTTTGGTTCAGACGGACAACTTCCCTGATGCACCTGTTGGAACCGCAGGAATGTTCTAACAGGTGGTGGCTGAGGAGTACAATTATCTGACTTAATAAACTTCGGTCTTCGAAAACTGACTGAAGACCCTTCCCACTTTCTTTTGTTTATTGTTTTCTCTTCACCTTGCCGATTTTTGTTTCGTTCTGTAACTTCTGCAACATTAACGGCTAAAGAGAAGGTAGCATGGTTCATGGCAATTACAAACTCCCAAATTGAAGGTTTCAAACCCCAAACATACCTTTCCACCTTTCGGGACTCTGAAGAGACGTAATGTTCTACAAAACAGGAATACTCAATAAACTTCTCGGTATAATCCCATACGGATCTGTTTCCTTGTTCCAGCTTTAGGAAATCATCTTCCATTTGCCTTACTGCCGTCGTAGGACAGAATTGTGTTTTGAATTTGTTCACAAATTCTTCCAAAGACATTGTTTGCAGTATATTCGGTTATGCCGAGGATTCCACATCCCACCAATATAAGGCATTAGATTTAAACATAGATACTTCAAATCTAGCCTTATCTTCTTCAGAACACCTACTAGTGTTAAATACTGATTCAATTTCTTTTATCCAGCACATTGCTTTTATTGGATCTCTTTCTCCTGAAAATGTTGGGGGTTTACATGCCAAAAACATTTTTATGTCCCCTTCCCTGTTATTACTGCCTGCTGAAAGAGCTGGAGGATTAATTCCAACTTGCTCCGTTTCTACTCTAGCCGGCATACCCATTATAGACATCAAAGTTTCCCTCAGTTTTCCGATTTCCTCTGCTAGAACGTCTCAAGTTATAAACTCGGGTTGCTTCCTTCGCTCCTGATGTGCATTCCAAGAAATAGATTCCCCTTGTTTAGGGTGAATCTCAGCCTGACTCCTTTCCAGAATCTGACTCCTCCCTCGACCTCTACCCCTGTTTCTTCACCGACCTCTACTCCCCGAAGCATAGGTTGGTGGAATAATAGAAGATTCCATCCTCTCTTCAGACTCAGGGCGGGCAATTCTTTCTGATCTTCATGATCGACTAGATATCTGCAGATATTTTAGTATTAAATTTCATGTATTCACATTCCCAAATATAATATGGTATCCGAGTATAGGTTTGTAGCTATAAATTCATAATTATCTTGGCCATTTGTAATTCGAATTCACCTTACATACTGCCTTCTTTAACCTATTATATATTATCCCTGGGACCCTTAACATGCAAAAGACAGTTTTAGTCTAGGCATCATGTTTTGAATACCTAAATCTCTTAAACTAAGGCTTTGATCCACTCTATAACGCCCTCGAACACCACATTTGCTTATAACACATTTTCATTACATAGAAATACAGAATACAACACAATGGTACCACTAGTACAAGGATTCTTATATGTACAGAATTTATATATGAAAAATTCCAAAATAAAATCCTCTACTATCACATGTATAACAACATGTACCCTTCAAAACAAGCAATCTTATGTAGTTCTTCAAAAGTAGATATCAGATTAGGAAAATAATCATATTTTCTCTTTCCCCTTACTATCCCTGGACCCCGCAGTTCTTGCATTGCATATTTTTAAAATAGAAAATGATGGTTAAACCTAAGGCTGTGCATCGGGCGGGTCGGGTCGGGTCGGGTCGGACCCGAAAATGACAAACCCGATCGAGTTTCGGGGTGCAAGTCCATAACCCGTAGTACAATGTTCGGGTTGCGGGCCTAATCGGGTTCGGGCCTAATCGGGTTCGGGTCTAATCGGGTCGGGTTCGGGCGAAATTGGAATAACTTCTTACCATTTTTTCCCCCTTTTCATCATGTTTGCTAGGTGCTACCTGCTGTTTTTTGGCAGTTTCTAAAAAAGTATATAACTAAGAAAACCAAAATGACCTCATAATCTGTGCATCTACCAACAATATGTAAAATCAAGCACATTCATAGCCAAACTATATTGTATAAATAATTAAAATACCTTTCAAAATTCAAAGTGACCACTTGTACAATATATCATCTAGCTGACTAGTTGTCTAGCTCTAAAGCATCTACATCAACAGCTGGAACCGGAAGAGAATCCTCTTGGTCATTGACAGAACTTGAACTTCCTATTCTCATATTCATCATTTCTGTGTTTAAAGAAACAAATTAAAAGAAGTATATAATTATATAAATATACAAACTCAAGTTGAAAAGGAATACTAAAATACTGAATACACAACTAATGTCGTACCTTTCTCAAACTTTTCAATATYAGCTATGTTTTCTTCAACTGCAATTGGCTGACTAGGGCCTCTTRGCCAGTCTTGTGTACATATCAGGGCTTCTACCATTTTAGGAGATAAAGAACTCCTAAAATTATCTAAGACCCGGCCACTAGTACTAAAAGTAGACTCAGATGCCACAGTTGAAATTGGAACAGCAAGCACATCTCTAGCCAATTYTGAAAGAATAGGAAACCTTTCACTATTAACCTTCCACCATCTTAAAATATCAAAATCATTTGTCTCATCTATGGTCGACTCACTTAGATAAAGTTCAAGTTCACTCTTTTTGTTGAATGAAGCCCCACTTTCCATCTTTTGTTTCTTAAGTTGGCTCTTTAATCTAGATTGTACCCGTCCAACGGGAACATTCTCACACTTAGTGGGTGGAGGAGGCATCATAGTGGTAGAAGGTTCGGAATATGTTGACACATACTCTTGAAACAACATATCCAATTTAGACTTTACCTTTTCAAAGCATGACTTACCTTGATCCTCACCATACATTTGATTGAGCTGGACTTGCATATACTCAACCTTGTCTCTGGGGTCCAATATATTGCCAAAAAATATGATGAAGTTCATCTTATCTGGATTACCTCAATATTTACTGAATTTCTCTTTCATTTTAACACCCATTTCCTGTTCATAAATCAAAAACAGAAAGTTAGTAAGCAACCAAATATAAGTAAATGGTAAAGGAAATATTAAAGGAAGATAAACATACCTCTTCAACTTTTGACGTAGATTGTAACATATCGGCAATAATGAAACTCAAATCTGAAATCTCGGTTAAGAAAGAATTTGAGGTGACATAAAGTGAGCCAGAAATTCTAATTGTCATCTCATAAAATGTCTTCAAAAATANTATATATGGGTTGGTTAAAATGTTAAACAAGATTATTGTGTTAACTTTGTTAACCAATCTTGGCCATTGATTCTTACAATAAACGGTTGTGATTAATCATGATAAAAWATTAATTTTTTAAATTTACAATTTCAAAAAACATATGTGAACAAAGGGGAAAAGGGTATTTAGGTAAAAAAAAATTATGTAACTCTCATATCATTATTGAGAGTTACAAAATCAAAAAATCTAATTATTTTTGTTAATGTAAGAACCATATGAACACACACACACACACACATATATATATATATATATGTGTGTGTGTGTGTGTGTGTGTGAAGTAGGACTGTGCATCGGTCGGGTCGGGTCGGATCGGACCCGAAAAATGGCTAACCCGATCGGGTTTCGGGGTACAAAGCCACAACCCGAAGTATACTGTTCGGGGTTCGGGTCTGGTCGGGTTCGGGTCTAATCGGGTACGGGGCTGTTTCGGGTCGGGTTCGGGTGAATAGCATAGTAGCCAACAAAGCAGCAAATTGCACAGCCTTAAACTTGTGTACCTATAATTGTATATATAAAAAAGAGATGATGCAACTGCTATATGAGGCTAGTAAACCGTCGAACAATATTATTAAATGGAAACCAAAAAACCATTCAGGACAAAGACAAAATCATTGTTTATAATACCCACTAAGAGTACATAGAAGCAAAATTAAAAACAAATCCTTAAGAATTTATTGTTGTCATGATACCTAAAACTTGCATTGCGCCACTTTGATGAGGAGGGTAAGGAGAAGGAACCGTATATGGAGGCCTCGGAAACGATCCAGGTTGCTGACCCTGTGCGTTATAGTATGCACCTTGCGTTGTACTCGTTTCATTTGGTTATAATCTGCAATGACAAATCTTAACAACAGAAGAAACTAATCATCAATTTTTAAATAGGATGTATAATTAATCACCAATTTTTAAATAGAATGAGTTGATATGGATGCTTACCTTTATTCCTGGATTGGCTTCCACCCTGCCCAAGATCATAGCCAAAGTGCCAAACTGCATGCAATGAAGGCCAAATAAATGGCAGCCCCTCTGCCAATGACATTTTCCATCAAGGTATACTTTTTTCCGGTTACAAAAGCAGTGGTAGACTACTTACTGTAAAGGTCAGCAATATTACAAACAACAAAATACCAAACAATGACAACAAACAAGCAAAATTAAAAACAAACAAGCCATCGATCAACTTGAAGTCACTATATTGTGATTGGTTTATTGTCCAAAAAGTGGGAAAGATAATGTGCAGGAAAGAAAAATGGGAAAGAATCTTCAATCTCTTTGTAGTTTCCCATCACAAACTCACTTTGGTCATCTTGTCTTCACACCAATGCATCTGTTCTTCACTTAGATCAGTAGTCCTGAAATATTGAGGAAAATTGATAAAGTAACATAAAACACAAGAGGTTGTATAAAGAAATAAAATACCTTTGAAAATTCAAAGTGGCCACTTCTACAATATATCATCTAGCTCTAGATCATCTACATCAACAGCTGGAACCGGAAGAGAATCCTCTTGGTCAGTGACAGAACTTGAACTTTCAATTCTCATATTCATCATTTCTGCGTTTATAGAAACAAATTAAAAAGAAGTATGTAATATATAAATATACAAATTCAAGTTGAAAAGGAATACTAAAATAGTGAATACGTAACTAATGTCGTACCTTTCTCAAACTTTTCAATATCAACTATGTTTTCTTCAACTGCAATTGGCTGACTAGGGCCTCTTAGCCAGTCTTGTGTACATATCAGGGCTTCTACCATTTTAGAAGATAAAGAACTCCTAAAATTATCTAAGACCCGGCCACTAGTACTAAAAGTAGACTCAGATGCCATAGTTGAAATTGGAACAGCAGGCACATCTCTAGCCAATTTCGAAAGAATAGGAAACCTTTCACTATTAGCCTTCCACCATCTTAAAATATCAAAATCGTTTGTCTCATCTATGGTCGACTCACTTAGATAAAGTTCATGTTCACTCTTTTTGTTAAGTGAAGCCCCACTTTCCATCTTTTGTTTCTTAAGTTGGCTCTTTAATCTAGATTGTACCCTTCCAACGGGAACATTCTCACATTTAATGGGTGGAGAAGGCATCATAGTGGTAGAAGGTTCGGAATATGTTGACACATACTCTTGAAACAACATATCCAATTTAGACTTTACCTTTTCAAAATATGACTTACCATGATTCTCACCATACATTTGATTGAGCTGGACTTGCATGTACTCAACCTTGTCTCTGGGGTCCAATATATTGCCAAAAAATATGATGAAGTTCATCTTATCTAGATCACCCCAATATTTACTGAACTTCTCTTTCATTTTAACACCCATTTCTTGTTCATAAATCAAAAACAAAACGTTAGTAAACAACCAAATATAAGTAAATAGTAAAGGTAATATTAAGGGAAGATAAACATACCTCTTCAACTTTCGACGTAGATTGTAACATATCGGCAATAATGCAACTCAAATCTGAAATCTCGGTTAAGAAAGAATTTGAGGTGACATAAAGTGATCCAGAAATTATAATTGTCATCTCATAAAATGTCTTCAAAAAAATGACCAAGCTGTCAACAGATAACCAATCAAAATATGAAGGCACCGAATCACCCAAATCCAAATGTAACGTGTTGTCATTACTCTCATACGTTTCAAAAACTTGTCTGTAACCTATTGCGGTTTGAAGCATCATATAGGTGGAATTCCATCTAGTTGGAACGTCAAGACATAAGGAACTTTTCTCTTCCACTTCAAGCAATTCTGCAAGTTCTTTAAACTTCTTCAACCTAGATGGAGAGCCCCTCACCCACCTAATGTAATCCTTAATCTTCTTAACTGATGAATCTGCTAATTTCAATCCATCTTGTACAACCAAATTAAGAATATGAGCAATGCATCTCATATGTATGTACTCTGCCCTAGTAGAAGAACCACCCCAATTCACCACCTTCTTCTTCATGAACCCAACGACAATGTCATTGTTTGATGCATTATCAACTGTGATGGTGAAAATATTTATTACTCCTCAATCAAGCAAACAACTCTCTATGGCCTTAGCTATACTTTCCCCTTTATATGAATGTATAGGCACAAATGAGATGATCTTTTTATTTAATTTCCACTCATCATCAATAAAGTGTGGAGTGACACACATATAATTTATTCTTTGGACAGATGTCCACGTATCATTGGTCAAACTAATCCGCTGCCTGCTTGACTTAAATAATTTCTTAAGGTTGGTTTTCTCTTCAAAGTAAATATTGAATATATCCCTAGTAACTGTCCATCTAGAAGGGATCTTAAATCTAGGGCATGCAGCCTCAACAAACTATTTAAAATCCCTCCCTTCAACAAACCTAAATGGAAGTTCATCCATTATAATCATTTTCGCTAACATCTTTCGAACAACCTCTTGGTTAAAACCCAAGAGGTCAAAGCACCATCACTATTCTCAGATTTTACAGATTGAAATGCAAGAATTGATTGCTTTGTTTCCTTAGCATGTGGATTCTTTAAACAAGCTTTCATGTGGCTATTTAAAGAGGAAGTACCATCCTTTTAGCCTCAGCTGCATATACTTTTGAACAATATAAGCATTTACCTTTATTGACTAGCCCATCCTTGTTTAAAATCTTCTTAAAATGGTCCCATACTTGAGATCTGGATTCTAACGTTTTCCTTTTTCTTGTACTTTCCGGAACAGATTGAGTTACGGTAGGATTAGATTGTAAGGGAGGAGCTTGATGACTGTTACTTCCGGACTGAGGCGTGCTAATTTTTTCCATCTACGGTTCTAAAAAATATAACAATATATTAGTATGCTAGAAGAATTTGATGAATAAAAAGTAAAAACCCTCCTAAGTCCCAATCCTGTGCAAAGGTGCAGATTGAAAATGAAAAAGGTATATAACTATACATGATGGTAGAGTTATCCAGGTGATCGAGTATGAAGACATATAACTTCTATCTAGTTGGTAAGCATAGCTGCTATGTATAAATCAATATCTAGTTGCATAAAGCAGTATACAAATTTGATGATCTTATTTCATATCAATTATTATTACACAAAACAAGGGTTATCATGTAATATGCATCATTGGCTTCTGAAATTTTATAGTTTTCGATAGACTAGCATATCGGAATTGTTTATTGTATCAAGTACGTTTTTGTAAAGTATTCTGAGTTGATCATCCATCTAAAGAGTTAAACCATGATTAGCAAACTAGTATTTAGCTAGGACATATGGAGGGTTATTTAGCTAAACGACCTCCTGACAAAATAACAAGAAAATCAAGTCGAGCATGTTATCATATTGCAGCAACTGTACCTAAGTTTATAAACTTGTATACAGCTGGTTCTAAATATCCCATCTACCCAATTTCCCATTATAAAGCTGCAATTGAGAAAGATCTAGGCTTTGCATCAAGATAGTGGCCACACATCAAGATAACTAAACCATCAAATGCATCTGATTTTTTCGTATCAAATACAT